ATTCAATTTTATTACTCTTATTGAATCCATTAACAAAAGCAGCTTAGGAAGATAAACAAAAGAATTGCCCCAGTTGTTTAATTTATAAAAAGACACAAAGTAATCCCATTAAATATTTAATTCGTTGCACGGAATATTTAAAGCAATTAAGCTATTAAATTAGATAAGATAGCAAATATTACTATACACGTTAATTAAGATTTAGCTGAGCTATCCTAAACTGCAGGTTGCAGGTAAATACTAAATGTAATTAATTTATTAAAAGTACGTAATTTACTTAATTTAGAAATTTAGATCCTATTGGTTTATGGCTTTTTTTAGGCGGTGGTGAAGATGATGATGATGATGATGATGATGAGTACGACGATGATACACGTGAAGACGATGACGAAAACGACGAAGAGGAACAGCCTACAAGTCAAAACAGCACATCGTGTGGGGAGAATGAAGTATATAAGAGCTGTGGAAACCCATGCGAATCAACATGTCCTGTAATGTTCAGAAAACGTCCGTTCTGTAGAGAAGATTGTCGACCCGGTTGTTTTTGTATACACGGTTATGTCAGAGACAAAAACAGAAATTGTATTCATCCCATAAACTGCACTCTCACTATATCCAACTAGGAAAATATAGGCCTATATATATATATATATATATATATAATATAAAACAATAGCTGTTTTTTAGAAAACAAGTATGCTATTTAAACGGATGATCCCAAAACTTTGTTTGAGGGATTTATTAATTTAAATTAAGTTATGTAAATAAATGGAGAATTTGTATACTTGTTATTAAAGTTTTGTTTATTTTGCAATGATAAAAATTATTTTTTCTTTTATTTCCCCTCTCTTTAAATCTAAATAATTTTTAAAAATAAATTATAATACTTTCATTAAAATAAATTTGGTTAAATAGATTTATTCTTAAAATTTTATTAACTATAAAATAAATAAGAACAGACAAACGGACAGATTTCATGAACATAAAATAAAACGATAAAAATATCGTAACATAATATATATATCCTATAGCCTATATTTAAAGCTGTTTTTATGAAAAATTTTAATAAATAAAAATACAATAAATTTATAAATGAACATTTTATATTTTACAATATAGTCTAATTATTTTATATAAGAAATTTTTGTATATTTAATTTTTCATTTTATTTTAAAATATTTTAAATTTAAACTCTGAAACTTAGTAGTACCATGCAGATGCTTTTATTTATTATTGAAAGACTAACAGCTGTTAAGAATCAGTACAACAAAAGTAAGAGATTTAAAAACGTCTTAGTTTCAGTTGAAAGTAACAGTAAAGATGATTGTTGTCTTATTTTTTACTTTCGTTTTTGTTGTTTCTGCTCTACGTGATGAAGGTAAATATAATCTCTTTTTGTTGAAATATTGATAGAAAATAATCTAAAAATAGCATTAACTTTGTTCTACGAGATGACCAGAAAGTACTTGTACAGTACACCTAGATTACAAGCGATAAATATAGATGAACAATAAATTTTTGATAACCTTGTACTGTTCTGTACATGCAAGATTATTAATTACATACATATAACGAGGGAGAATTTAAATAAATATTTTCTTATAAATATAAACGGATAATAATTAGTTTATATAACAAAATTTAATATTAAAAAACCAGTTTTTTTATTAAAGAAAATTATAATATTAAACACGATAATTATACATAAAAAGTTAATATTTTTTCAATATAATTAATCTTAAAAAATCGAAAGAAAATTTTATTAAATATTTTTATAAAATTAAATAAAAAATAATTTTAAAAAATTGGCTAAGATAAACTTTGTTATTTCTTAAAGTACTTTTTATAAAACACTTTAATAATTTCTTTGATCTTTCTAAACTTCTCACCAGTTTCCATTAACCAATAAAGGTTTTTAATCTATAGCCTAAAGAGCTTATTCTGAAAGGAGAGAATAGCTAAAACTTATTGCTTTTAAGCGGTCAAAAAATAAATAGAAAATAATTGATCCTCTGTGCAATATATGTTTATATATATTTATAACTGTTTTTGAATACTAGCAAAGTANGAAAGACTAACAGCTGTTAAGAATCAGTACAACAAAAGTAAGAGATTTAAAAACGTCTTAGTTTCAGTTGAAAGTAACAGTAAAGATGATTGTTGTCTTATTTTTTACTTTCGTTTTTGTTGTTTCTGCTCTACGTGATGAAGGTAAATATAATCTCTTTTTGTTGAAATATTGATAGAAAATAATCTAAAAATAGCATTAACTTTGTTCTACGAGATGACCAGAAAGTACTTGTACAGTACACCTAGATTACAAGCGATAAATATAGATGAACAATAAATTTTTGATAACCTTGTACTGTTCTGTACATGCAAGATTATTAATTACATACATATAACGAGGGAGAATTTAAATAAATATTTTCTTATAAATATAAACGGATAATAATTAGTTTATATAACAAAATTTAATATTAAAAAACCAGTTTTTTTATTAAAGAAAATTATAATATTAAACACGATAATTATACATAAAAAGTTAATATTTTTTCAATATAATTAATCTTAAAAAATCGAAAGAAAATTTTATTAAATATTTTTATAAAATTAAATAAAAAATAATTTTAAAAAATTGGCTAAGATAAACTTTGTTATTTCTTAAAGTACTTTTTATAAAACACTTTAATAATTTCTTTGATCTTTCTAAACTTCTCACCAGTTTCCATTAACCAATAAAGGTTTTTAATCTATAGCCTAAAGAGCTTATTCTGAAAGGAGAGAATAGCTAAAACTTATTGCTTTTAAGCGGTCAAAAAATAAATAGAAAATAATTGATCCTCTGTGCAATATATGTTTATATATATTTATAACTGTTTTTGAATACTAGCAAAGTATACAGAAAGTCTTTTTTTATTTAGAAAGTTATATTTCTATAAATATAAAAAATAATACATTTGTAATATTTTAAATGTTTAATAAATGATTTAAAGCGGTGAAAATAATAGAAAAACAAAGCCTGAGAGATTATAGGAAAGCCAGTTTAGTTACAAAATATGAAAACTGTCTGTCTCTGGAAGCTATAAATATCTAAAAAAAAAAAATAATAATATAATAAAGAAGAGATATAAAAAGATTTTAAAACACTTATCAATCACTTTTATAAATATATTTTTTAATATCAAGGACTAAATTTTAGGGCCTTCTGTGTCTAGATAAAGGGGCCGACTGGGCCCTTTATCTAGAACAAAGAGAAGTATCAGTTCTATCGCTTAAAATTATTCAAAAACGAGAATTTGTGCCTGATTTGTTTCGTTTTAAACGTTATTTTCTACTAAATTAATGTTTTTGTGTACTAATGTAATCTCCAGATTTAGAAAGGCGAAATATAAATAAATAAAATTAGAAAAATAAATTATCTTACGAAATTTTTATTTTTAAATAAATTATTATGAATAATAAGTTTTACAGCTACAATTCATTAATTTTATATCATTTAACATGTTTTACGCTTAATATGCATTCAATGCTAAAAAACACATACACATTTCTTTAGTCACATTACATATAAAATGCTTTTATAAATGTAAAGTATTTTTAAAAAAATAACGAAACGATTNAACATTCTAAATATTTCATTTATTAAAACATAAATAAATAAATATGGGTCCTACTAATGAAAGGAACTCTCTCTACTACACACTCTCTACGGCCCTGAGGAATTAACTTATACTTTTACATAAATCGCACCTGTAAATTACGAAATAATAAACCTTACTTAGTTAATAGACTTGTTAGTTAATAACTGTAAATGAATTGAAAGGAAGTGACTCGGCCATTAAAAAATTAGTTTAAAAATCTGTCTTTGCAATAGTTAATGATTAAAATTAAGATATTTCAATCTTTAAATATTATTTTGCAATAATGTAGAGTTGACTAAAAGTATATTAATAATGTAAAAAGTTTTATTTGAAAAATTAATTTATTATTTAGCTTTAACGTTTTTCTTCGTTTAATTAACGTTAGCTTTAATTAACGTAGTATTTTTAATAAATTATATATATATATTAAAAAATATATATATAGCCTATATTAACGTATAAAGCTCAAATATAACTTTAAAAATATAATATTTTAACTTTAATTTAATCAAAATGAATTAATTTAATATTTATTTAGCTCGCGAATATATTATAATTCTGATATAATTATAACTATAAAGCTTATTTTAAATATAAATGTCGGGAGTTATACAGAATATAGGCCTATACTAATTATAATTTAATTAATAAATCAATAAATCGAATATTTTTAAAAGTTTTCTAGTGGAAAAATAATATTTTGTAATTACTTTTTAAAAATTCGAAGGACACAAATCCTTCGTAATTTTATTGATTAAGGAATAGTAATCTCTTTATCAGCAGATTTTCCACCAAAAATGACTCATTCGCTTAATATATACAATTATGAAAGAATTGTACACCCCCTTTAGTCAATTTTGACGTCATGATTTTAAAAACTAAAAGAATGAGTTGACTCAAAATAATTTACGCAACTTACATTGAAGTAACGCATTAAAATCTGAAGGTTTTATGACAACTTTTATAAATAGTTTTGTATTTTGTATATTTTTTCTATAATTTTTAAGTACAAAAATAAATATATGTAGTCTAGGTGGTAAAAGGTTATTTAAAATTAAAATTCGTAAAGAAATCGTTCACATCATTAAAAAATAGCACTTAAGGATGTAAAAGTCGTATATCTTATATCGTTATTAAGTTACTAATAACTAAATTTTCTTAATAAAATCTTTAATTTGGTATATGTCAAGGGAATAGAATAAAATTTTATTGCAAGATTTATATTTTGATATATGTAATTTTTATATTATACTTCAATACTACGTCATTTCATTTTGTTACTGTTACGCTCGGTTGAGTTGTTACTATCATGTCACGGATCATGAGCACTCTAAGGAAATAACAATTTTGTAAGGATGATGTGTAGTGTTTTATAATTATGCACGCGCCCCCACCCCGAATGAACCAAATATATTAGGAAGACAGCAGCAGACTAGACAGATATTCGAAAATGTCTTCATGCAGTGTGCTGTTAGTGCTTAGTTTGTGCTTCGGGTTAATTGTTGCTCAAGAGGATAGCAATGCTGAGGAAACAACAACAGTTGTAAGTAATTCTACGATAGAAACAGCTTCAAATTCCACAGCTGAAGTTACGAATATTACTACAGAAGCAACAGAAGGAACAAATACTACTTCCGAAACAGAAACAAGCCATCCTGCAAATACGGAGACAGATTCAACAAATAATTCTGCAGCAACAGAGGAACCTTCAAATGTTACAACAGCGGCAGAGGAACCTTCAAATGTTACTACAGCGGCAGAGGAATCCGCGAATGCTACTGTTGCAGAAGAGGAGCCAATGAATGTTACTGCTGCAACAGAGGAGCCAACAAATTCTGTTACAGCACCAGAGGAATCCGTAAATGCTACATCAACTGAAGAACCGACAAATGCTACTACAGAACCTGCAGAAACGACTACAGTTAAAGTATATTTAGAAGAAGTATCGTGGAACGTAACAGAAATTTGGATAAACGGTAAATTTAATTCAATTTTATTACTCTTATTGAATCCATTAACAAAAGCAGCTTAGGAAGATAAACAAAAGAATTGCCCCAGTTGTTTAATTTATAAAAAGACACAAAGTAATCCCATTAAATATTTAATTCGTTGCACGGAATATTTAAAGCAATTAAGCTATTAAATTAGATAAGATAGCAAATATTACTATACACGTTAATTAAGATTTAGCTGAGCTATCCTAAACTGCAGGTTGCAGGTAAATACTAAATGTAATTAATTTATTAAAAGTACGTAATTTACTTAATTTAGAAATTTAGATCCTATTGGTTTATGGCTTTTTTTAGGCGGTGGTGAAGATGATGATGATGATGATGATGATGATGAGTACGACGATGATACACGTGAAGACGATGACGAAAACGACGAAGAGGAACAGCCTACAAGTCAAAACAGCACATCGTGTGGGGAGAATGAAGTATATAAGAGCTGTGGAAACCCATGCGAATCAACATGTCCTGTAATGTTCAGAAAACGTCCGTTCTGTAGAGAAGATTGTCGACCCGGTTGTTTTTGTATACACGGTTATGTCAGAGACAAAAACAGAAATTGTATTCATCCCATAAACTGCACTCTCACTATATCCAACTAGGAAAATATAGGCCTATATATATATATATATATATATATAATATAAAACAATAGCTGTTTTTTAGAAAACAAGTATGCTATTTAAACGGATGATCCCAAAACTTTGTTTGAGGGATTTATTAATTTAAATTAAGTTATGTAAATAAATGGAGAATTTGTATACTTGTTATTAAAGTTTTGTTTATTTTGCAATGATAAAAATTATTTTTTCTTTTATTTCCCCTCTCTTTAAATCTAAATAATTTTTAAAAATAAATTATAATACTTTCATTAAAATAAATTTGGTTAAATAGATTTATTCTTAAAATTTTATTAACTATAAAATAAATAAGAACAGACAAACGGACAGATTTCATGAACATAAAATAAAACGATAAAAATATCGTAACATAATATATATATCCTATAGCCTATATTTAAAGCTGTTTTTATGAAAAATTTTAATAAATAAAAATACAATAAATTTATAAATGAACATTTTATATTTTACAATATAGTCTAATTATTTTATATAAGAAATTTTTGTATATTTAATTTTTCATTTTATTTTAAAATATTTTAAATTTAAACTCTGAAACTTAGTAGTACCATGCAGATGCTTTTATTTATTATTGAAAGACTAACAGCTGTTAAGAATCAGTACAACAAAAGTAAGAGATTTAAAAACGTCTTAGTTTCAGTTGAAAGTAACAGTAAAGATGATTGTTGTCTTATTTTTTACTTTCGTTTTTGTTGTTTCTGCTCTACGTGATGAAGGTAAATATAATCTCTTTTTGTTGAAATATTGATAGAAAATAATCTAAAAATAGCATTAACTTTGTTCTACGAGATGACCAGAAAGTACTTGTACAGTACACCTAGATTACAAGCGATAAATATAGATGAACAATAAATTTTTGATAACCTTGTACTGTTCTGTACATGCAAGATTATTAATTACATACATATAACGAGGGAGAATTTAAATAAATATTTTCTTATAAATATAAACGGATAATAATTAGTTTATATAACAAAATTTAATATTAAAAAACCAGTTTTTTTATTAAAGAAAATTATAATATTAAACACGATAATTATACATAAAAAGTTAATATTTTTTCAATATAATTAATCTTAAAAAATCGAAAGAAAATTTTATTAAATATTTTTATAAAATTAAATAAAAAATAATTTTAAAAAATTGGCTAAGATAAACTTTGTTATTTCTTAAAGTACTTTTTATAAAACACTTTAATAATTTCTTTGATCTTTCTAAACTTCTCACCAGTTTCCATTAACCAATAAAGGTTTTTAATCTATAGCCTAAAGAGCTTATTCTGAAAGGAGAGAATAGCTAAAACTTATTGCTTTTAAGCGGTCAAAAAATAAATAGAAAATAATTGATCCTCTGTGCAATATATGTTTATATATATTTATAACTGTTTTTGAATACTAGCAAAGTATACAGAAAGTCTTTTTTTATTTAGAAAGTTATATTTCTATAAATATAAAAAATAATACATTTGTAATATTTTAAATGTTTAATAAATGATTTAAAGCGGTGAAAATAATAGAAAAACAAAGCCTGAGAGATTATAGGAAAGCCAGTTTAGTTACAAAATATGAAAACTGTCTGTCTCTGGAAGCTATAAATATCTAAAAAAAAAAAATAATAATATAATAAAGAAGAGATATAAAAAGATTTTAAAACACTTATCAATCACTTTTATAAATATATTTTTTAATATCAAGGACTAAATTTTAGGGCCTTCTGTGTCTAGATAAAGGGGCCGACTGGGCCCTTTATCTAGAACAAAGAGAAGTATCAGTTCTATCGCTTAAAATTATTCAAAAACGAGAATTTGTGCCTGATTTGTTTCGTTTTAAACGTTATTTTCTACTAAATTAATGTTTTTGTGTACTAATGTAATCTCCAGATTTAGAAAGACGAAATATAAATAAATAAAATTAGAAAAATAAATTATCTTACGAAATTTTTATTTTTAAATAAATTATTATGAATAATAAGTTTTACAGCTACAATTCATTAATTTTATATCATTTAACATGTTTTACGCTTAATATGCATTCAATGCTAAAAAACACATACACATTTCTTTAGTCACATTACATATAAAATGCTTTTATAAATGTAAAGTATTTTTTTAAAAATAACGAAACGATTATATAATTATATATACAATTATAAATATATTATTTATTAAATAAAATTATATTTATCTATTACGATATCGAAAAATGCATTTAATATATTTGAAATTTTATCGACAGCCTGTAAAATCGATAATGAAATATTTACTGGATGTGGATCGGAATGTATAAATTGTGAAAATTATAAAAATAGTCCAGAAATCTGTCAGGAATGGTGCAGCGTTGGATGTTTTTGTATGAAAGGTTTTTTAAGAGCATCCGATGGAAAATGCGTTGAACCAAATAACTGTTACTAATGGAAGATATTTATAACCTCATAAAAATAAAGAAACCGCAAATAAAAAAATTAAATGTAATTTTTAATGTAAAAAAAATAATAAAAAAATGTGTAAATTCTAAATAAAATTACAAATATATTTGTACTTATTTTCAAGTTTCTATAAACACGTGATAAGCCTACACTCGTCCTTGAAGGATTGAATTATTTAATAAAGTAATATTAAAAATACGATTTCTATTTTTATTTTTTAAAATATAAAACGTCGATACTATAGAATATAAATAAGAATTTGAGGTTAAACTGACAAAGTTGTATAATGAAAGTCATATAAACGACAAAGACAGCTTAGAATGTAAAGTATTTGTTGTTATACACGTGCAAAACTGGAAGGTCGTGTGTGTGTGTTAGTCAGCAAAATGTTCAGACAAAAATAATAAAAGTCCTATATTTTAATGCATTGTATATATAACTCAATGATAAATAAATCAAACTTGGATTTAGTATTATTCTTTTAATTTTATATACCTATAATTATAATTAATAATTTTTTAAAAGAATAATAATAATAATAATAACAATCTAAAACATTATAAAATATGACATTATTATATTTAAATTTTGAAAAATACGAAAAGGAAACAATGTTAAAAAATTTTTAAAAATCTAGCAGCGAATTGCTTAACTTTCCCGGAAACATTTAAAACTGAGTATGGCGCCACCTGTTATCATATTTTATTTTAAAAAACTTAATACTTTTAATTATTATAAAATGGCAAACAGCTTAATTTTGAGAGTAGGAATTGGTTTTATAAAAAAAAAAAAAA